CCCTAGGAAGTCACGAATGCAAGGCTTTATCGTCTTATCATCTTGACATCGCATTACAAGCTCATTTCCCCTGTTCCGTTTGGTATGCGAATAATTGATGCATCCGTCCTCTTACGCCATCAGCCTGGGGCCGGGGGCACATCGGGAGGCAGAACGTGGCCGAAGCCCCCACTGCCAACGCACTCCATGCTCCGCCCAATACGTGCTAGTGCCCGCTGTACAAGGACGTTGGATCCGCCATGCCCACCGAGATTCCAGGGACCGTCCCAGGCACATGGCGGCCTTAGCGTCATAAGCGCACTGAAATCCCAATTTACACAGGACTGTTGTCCGGGATTCCTTCACCTCCCACCACGAGCTTCCGACGCCCACACGACGAATTCGAGATCCGCCCTTGTGCATTTGTGTAATTCAGCGGAGCGTCTCGAGACAACAACGTGTTAGACGATTTTACAACTGCTTTTCTTCAAAGGACATAGAAATCGCATCGAAACAAAGTTGGAAATCAGAGAAGGAAAAGGCACATGACGAGACTTTTCCCCAAACCGAAGAACCAAAACAACAACAACAAGACACCCCAAATGTCGCAAAGATAGAAGACCTACCCACCGAACCTCACAAATCTAAGCGATGCCGAGCTTCTTCCAATTCACCCAAGGCAACGAGTCCCGCACCCGCCTCACGAGCGACGCCTCCCCTCTGCTGGGCCGATTCCGCGCCGTACCCCCGCGATCCGACGTCCCCGGCCGCCGTCGCCGCTCCAGCACCCTCGGCTTGTTCACGTCTAATAACCGTGGAAGCGTATACGTCGGCTACGGCGCGCTCCTGTCCGCCTCGGGGCTCGAGAACCACGATAATGATGCTGCAAGGGGCGGCGACTGGGAAGAGTTGGGCGCGTGGGCGCGCACCTGGCGCAAGATCTCCAACGTTTGGGTCGAACCGAAGCAGAGTGCCGTCAAGGGCGTTGTCGACGTGTGGTGGAGTCGGTATGGAGTCTTGGTGCTGATGCCTGCTGTTCTGGTATGTTTGGCAATTCCTTTGACAATAGGACGGACGGATCGAAGAGTTGGCGAGTGATTGGGACTAACACGGGAGGGAAACCTAGGCTATTGCGTGGTGTGCGATACCGTTCCCAAAGTACTCCTTTCCCGGTGAGGATGACGATGATCGAAGTGATCCCCTGCCAGGGTCTGGGCGTAAGATACCCGGCCACGGAGAAGCAAGAGTACAGATCAACTTTTGGTTCTTCCTCTTCGTGTACTACGGTTTCTATAACGTTACGGCTCTGGTATGGATCACCAAGGTCTTCAACTTGTACAGCTTGAATTGGTACGTCAGACCCCCTTTCACGCTCCTCAGAAGCACACAGATATGCTTATACTCAAATGTAGGTGGCCGCAATCTTTTGGATTTCCAGTTACGATGTCCATCATCGCCCTCATCTCGATAGCAGTCCCAATCCCCATCTACCTTGTCCCAGAGACGCGCTTCCTCACCGCCCACAACACGGCCTGGATTTCCTGGACCTTCATCGTCATGGCCATGCCAGTTGCCATTGCCTTTTGCATCCTTCTTACCTCCCAGCGTCACCTGAAGCTGCGCCAGTCGCTCTCCGAGACCCAACGCATCTTCACCACGTCCTGGTGGACAGGCGAGGCCGAAGGGAGCATCCCCCGTCGCGATAACCGCCGGCGGCCGAATCTTAGCAGCGACGCCTTTGACCCGGACACGACGCTCCAGGTCGCCGCTGAGCAGTCTCGCAATATGGGCGGCGTCAGGATGCGCCGTAGGTGGCTGCCCGCCAGCTTCGTCCGCTTCATTTGGTTCTGCTTGGCCCTTTTTGTCGGGCTCATGGCGTACGTCATAGGAGAGGCCTACGCCGAGATATACCTGCGCACGCTGCCTCATAACAACTTGGAGACCATCGTGTACGTCTACAGCTGGATCATCACGGTGCACCTGCTTGATGCCCTCACGGGCTGGCTTCTGGGTATCCGCGAGGGCGAGCGAGTGGGAAGCTACCCCCTGAGCTGGGTCTTCAAACTGTGAGTACTTCTTGTCTAGGAAGAGTGATTCAACATCAAATTGACACCAACCATCCAGATACTTCATGCTCACCTACCAAACCTACGTCCGCGCTCTATACGCGCGCCTCCGCTCCCCGGAGCAATTCATCTACCTCCAGATCCTCTCCAGCAGCACCCTCATCATCCTCACCCCGCTCACAATGTCCCGCCTCTACCACCGCATCACCGTCGCCCTCAACTTCACGGACCAGTCCTACGCCTCGTACCAGAAAGTGTGTACTCGCAACGTCTTCATCCGCTTCCTCGCCGAGAACGTCTCCATGGCCGCCTTCCTCGGCAGCGTGCTGGTCCTGCACTTTGGGCCCAACAAGGACGTCTATCCGTACTTTGCCTTTGACGGGAAAGTGACGGGCGACGACTACGACTACGATTTCCGGCTCACCTTTTGGGCCTCGTCCGTCACCTGGGCCTGCGAGCTCGTCGCCTCCGTCATCGTACGCGGGCTCATCAGCTGGTTCTTCGGTGTCGATGTCGGTATGGAGGGCAAGCTCGACCTCGCCGTGTGGCCGGAGCTGCTCCCGACCAGCGTGGCTGTCATGTTCCACGTCCTGCAGAACATGTTCTTCTCCATTATCCGGCTACAATTCCACTGATGGAAAGGAAGCGGAACAATCAGACGCAAACGCCCTCAACCCCAAGCTCGGCTGGTTCCCGCTGGCTCTCTCTTCGGCTCCTACATGCCGATATCGCCCTATCTTATCACCATTACATCCAACCATCAAACTGTTTCCCCCATTGCAGAGGCGTTATCCGAACTCATTGAGCGCTTTCATTTCTTTCGGCAAGAGATTGCACTCTGTCCAGGGTGTGTAACACGGCATCCTGGGTTACTTTTTTCTTCTCTCTCAGCATCGAGCGATACCAACAATAGCCGGCGTACCACCTTTTCTTTCTTTCTTGGATGGATAACGAACAACTTTCTTTCTCTTTCGCATACCTTGGGCGTACATGTTGTTCTTTATTCTGTTCTCTTGCCGCGTCTGCTTTTTTGGCTATTGGTGCGGAAAGAACTAAGAAAGATACCCCTCTTCCTCGTCTCGTTTCCTCCCTCTTTTTTCATACCCCATGCTCGCTCACGTTATTCCAAGTTTCGTTAGATTAGAGATACCACACTCATCAATTCCCTTCCTTGGCATGATGGTTACGAAAGATCGGATATTAGTTTTCTTTTCTGGGGGTAGAAAGAGAGATTCAATGTTAATACGTAGAGATTAATGATCATTATGTTAGACGACTCAGCAATCATTTTTGTTGGCTTTATATAACGGCCTCCTTGGTAGATACACACGATCTGCAGGAAGACAAGAGGCGAACTAACAAGAGTGACAGTCTGCTTATAGAGTAAACTAGATCCAGTGCAGAGTTGGAAAAAGAGAAAACGTGATACTGCCAAAGCCCTTGAGTCGCGCAGTCTGCTTCTTGTCTCCAAAGATCCTCATTTAATCGGCCATCTGGGAATCTCATTGGCGCCGTCAAAATCGAAATCGGCTACCTGCATGATGTCGTCCTACCACCACACTCCTCCGTCTTGGAGCCTTGACACACGCGGTCGACACCCTCTTCATCCAGAGCATCGCGACTCGGTCAAGCTTTGGTGCGGCTCGCTCTGGCCACTCGAGGAAACTGAAGCCGCTCAACGGTCTCTGCAGAATCCCGACAGATCCCATGGAACCAGCGAGCTTCATTCCGGTTTTGGGTAGGGTCGGCCACAGCGGTAACCGTGGTTGCGTCTGCGAGACGACGACAATACCTGACAGGCAGAGAGAGAAAAAAGCAAAGAAACATCATCAGCGCGCAGAATTGGTCCACGGATAGCCGCTTTCCCCGGACGAGTTGGAATGGGGGCTGATTGCAGCCGACCAACAGCCATCAGAGATACCAATGCCACCTGGCACGAATAGGACATCGACCCGGATAGTCTCTGGCTGCATCTTCCCTACAAAGATTTGAGCGACGTCAGCAAATAGTTACCCACAGTTGCATATTTTTCTCTTAGGCCTTTCCCTTCTTTCTTCAGATCACGGAGCCAATGATACCAGAGTTGGACAGTAGCGGTGAGGGATAGGTCGCTCGATGGTCGGCCATGAAAGACTGACTCATTTGCATCGACTACCCGCTAGCGGCGCCGGAGCTACGGCATCATCAAGCTTCTCAAGGCCAAACGGAAAGGGTAGGGGCCGTCAGTAAGGCATCCGGTTGTGAAAACCTGCTGCCGTGAGGTTGCGTCAACGGTCCGTTTCCACCTGTGCCGGAGCGTTTTGGACGCCGCTAATGCACCCAATTTTGGTCGCCGCTGGCCCCGGGCATGTGAACCTTCCCGTCTCATGTTGCGGCTACGATAATCCCCGGCTCGTATGGAAGGAAGTGCTTCCACAGTTTGTTCCGCAGTCATAGTGTTGGCCTGTTGCAGGAAATTCCTGACGACTACCGGATGACCGAGAGAGCCTGTTATGTTTCGTTGGGAAAGGCAATTGTCCTTAGTATTCTACAGAGGCATATTAGTTCCAAAGAACCCGAGAAGAGACCGTTTGCCCGGCAAGGACACCACGGTACAGCGGCTGGCATCTCTGTCCGAGCCGCCCGATGAAATCGAGTTCCACTGTCCGCGGGGAGGCCGCGTCTCGTCCTTGGCTTGAACGGGACCCGATGGCAAATCGATGACAAAAAAATATGTTGGTTTCGGCCACTCAGCAGAAGGGCCAGGGGTGGCACTGTTTAAAAGCGTTTGGCGGAATGGCTTCCGACCTGGGATGGGACGCTACATGTCTGTGCATGTACTATGATTATAGACAGTGATTCTCGTGTGTTATAAGGTAGTTTACCACTTGGTATCTATATCGGAATCGCATGGCTGTAGGACGTGTAGGTAGTGATGCGGTGGAGACAACGGCAGCAGCGGTCGCGATCCAGACTCTATCGACCAGGTACATCGTTCACCAGCTTTCCCAAGCTCCAGGCGAAATACGGACGAAGATCTTCGAAAGTTGACGGGAAACAGGATCGAAGCTCAGGTTCCAGACTGGGCCATCGGTGACATGCTAGGAATCGGAAAGGAAGGTTCCAGGATAACGGACGGCTGGGCGGAAATGATCGGATAAGATGGTCTCGAAACATTCGGACAGAATCTGATGGGGTTGCCAAGAAGATGGACCCGTCCATGCCAGGGCTGAGTCCTTCGTATGTCCTGGTAGAGGCAGATGTAGGTATGCGGATACTAAGGTTGGTACTATGCATTGGTTCACTGAGGTGCCGAGTCTCGTTTGGCAGGATTCGCGGGTGGTCAACATTGTGGTGTGGTAGTGGGATGAGTCGGCGGCTGCTTGGATCGCGGTATGCATTGGCGCGTGAGATCAACGGGATATCCCAAGTGATACGGCTCGTTTCCTGTCGAGAGCGCGGGGGCACATGTCGTTCACAGGGGATCTTTGAAGTGTGATTCGACGGCGACCCTGGCCGCGGCCGTGACTCAATGCGAAGTGATAGCAGGATGTTGCGGCGGCGGTTTGTCTGTCTCTCGGAACGTTTTGGCTCGATGGGAACAGTGAACGGGCGAGACCCTGCGACGTAGTGGGTGGGGTGGAAGCTGATAATTGACGGAATGGCACAGCGGTAGGACCCCATCGTTGCTGGTGGCCGAAGCTCATACATACGCAGTAAGGTGAGAGGACGCGGAACCATGTTGCCTGTCAGACAGGTACCGGACAAGTGGGCTGTGATATATAAGCCCTCAACAGAATCGAGTGAGTTAAGTAAGTACAAGTACAAGCTGTGGGTGCAGATACAGCACTTAGGAGTACTCCTGAAAATCTGCCGTAACAATTTGATCGTTCCGGTTTGGCTCAGGTTTGAGCATTGTTGGGCCTGAGCAAAGTGTTCTATCGAGGCCATGCCGTGAAGTGTCTCGATATGTGGAGGTTTTGTGATGGCTGCCGTACGTAGTACACTCCCTTGGCTGGAGAGGACGAAGCTAGGTTAGCAGTCCAAGGACGTGCTCTGTATGTACAGCCAAGACACTGGGCCGACATTGTAGTGTCTGTACGCTATGATTGGCTTTGCAGAGAAGAGGAATAATGCATGGGCTGAATGCATCTAGAAGCAAAATAGGAGCAGGAATGGTATGTTCTACCTTAGAAAATGGGTGGAGTGGAGGGACAGCTGCCCGTAAGCCGCAGTTCGCCTCAAGCGGCCCGTTTAATTTGAGCTGGGGACCGTTTGAAGGAGCAAGCAAGTTCGAAGAGTCTTGTACATAGGCAAGAGTACCACCCATACCGACCTTACCTTTAGCAAAGGCTCCTCAGCAGTAACTACTTGCCTCGAGACCAAATGGAGCAGGAAAGAGCCCATGAGCCTCGAGGTACCTTAGTTACTTGGGTGGTTCCTGCTTGTCATGGATGAGGATAATCTTCCAGGTTGTCAGGCACGTCCCTACCTACCTACCTTACCTTAGATGCCTCGGGCGGAACATACCTAGGTAAGAACGTTCCTATGCAAGTCAACACTCCAGTATTGTTACCAAATATGTACTCTGCATTCCCTCTATTTCCCCTACCAAAGTACTTGCTTCATAATCACTTGGTACCTCTTCCGCTGTGTGCTCGAGCGAGCTTCTCGACCTCCTCTGCCACATCGACAGCTCATCTGCTCCACATCACCACATTCGTGCCTCTCCTATCATCCACCCTTGACCTGTTCACCCAAAGCACAATAATTCGGACGTTTGAAACAAGCTGAGATGTTTCCGGTATCATCGGGTCTTCAGGGCCCTAGTGCCTACCTACTTCAAGCTTCAGTCACTAACCTGGAAGGTAGCATGATCCACAGAAATCGGCACCAATGCTATTCTCGCTGACGGTATTGAGAATCACCGTCGCCGCAACTTCGCCATGGCGCCTGTATGTGCAACCAAGCCGTTGACAGCCCTCCGGGTTGTTCAAAGTTCGAACAGCCTGCCGCGCCTGCTTTGCCTCGTGCTATCCGTACGGGCCTGTACAGGTATTGCGGTGATGAAATAGCATGGCATGTTTGTACCACCTACACGCGCATGCAGGACACTGCACCACATTCGCCATTCATCGCTGCGCTCCTCCTCATCGGTGTTGGACAGGGAAAAAAGACAAGGGCCCTGGTCCAAGGCTAAATGTCTTCCGGTTCTGGTACTTCGTCTCTTCAGAGCAAACCATATTCACAACCAAAGTTCATGTCGTCGACCTGCAGACTACCTAGACAATTTTCTCTGCAGCGCTTGACGAAGCTACTCACCGAAAACTAGCTCACACCCTTCAGGGCCGTGACATGATATCTAGGTATGTGCATGACCGTTCTTGATGAGGGAAAGGGCTACGACAAGAAGGAGAAGACAAGGGATGCTGCTGTCATTGATTCACGGCTCGGATGATAACGTGCCATGCAACATCCAGAGGCTTCCTGACGTTTGTGCTGGGCTGCCTGGCGAGGGTGAGACAGAGACAGCTTGTGTCATGGTCCCTTTCTCGGAGGTGGTGGCATAGTGGGGAACTGCTTCTTGCGCTCCCTCGTCCGTTCGTCCATGGTCCAAGGTCCCCTGCCTTGGGATATGGAGGGGTCGTTGCTGCTACGATGGAGGGGCAATCAATTCTGGCTGAAAGACATCCCACCTCCCACCTGCGCCGTTGCCGGCTTACCATTTGCTATTACAGCCAGATACGATATCGCGCGACCTGAGGGACGAGAAACAGCCCAGAAAGGAATCAAGTGTTTCCCAGCATCTGTTGGCCGCTCATCTGCGGAAACCACGGCATCTCTCTGAGGTATTTCCGAGTCAACATGAACTTGCTTGAGCAATATGTTTCAACACAATGGGCTTCCCAAGTTGGGCGGCAATGAAGAGGCAGAGAAGGCATCAAAAGGCAGCGCTCGGAAGTCAGGAGAGACAAAGGAAAAGTAAAGATAATGAACGCTCGCCATCCTATCTAAGGCATATCCCGAAGCGCCTTAAATGAGCTTTTCCTATCAAGCCTTGGACTAGCTTGGCCATGTACCCCCATCGCTGTCATTTTCGTCGCGGACCACTCTTGGGCAAGTTGGAATCGACCTGCCCACTTCGCACCACACGTAGTGACACCCTACCCGTATCACAACTCTCCACTTCCTGATCGATGGCGCGTTCACACTCACACTCACTCTTACCACTCTCCGGAGTCTACGCTACCCAGTCGCTCTAGTAGATTTTTTCTTCCTTATTTTTCTCTTCTCGCCTCTGCTACCTCCATGACCCCTGGCCATACACAGTTGATACTCTGTACCTAAGGTATCTTATCACCTTCCTGCACGCCGTCTGCCAGCCTGCTTTCGTGATTTCATGCCTTGTCTTACTCTCCACCCCCGGCGAGCCGAGCTGGACTAGCCTGCCATTCTCTTTCCCACACTCTTTTCTCACACACCTCAGTTCAGTCCCGATGGGTACGAAGTACCTTACACACACTGGCACACACGCACACCTCCTCACCCCTCCACGACCCCTCGGTCAAAATAAGGAACCGGTACCTAGTAACTCCGTTGTCTTAGCAGCTCCAATACAATCTCCACGTACCCTCAGCACCTTGTCTACCTTTGCGTGCTAGCCAACCTAACCTTACCGTTGTTTTTTACCACCTGCCACTTGTTCGTGTCCCACACCCCTCCTCTCTCGCTCACACTCAGTCTACTCTCCGGGATCCGACCCCAAAATTTTCTTCTGCCAACCTAGATACAGACAGACTCATATCATTGCTTTCCAACCCGCCCAGAAGACCTTCTTAACCCGCCTGTTCCTCCCCTCTCCTCTCTTCACAATGTCCTCCGAACAACTCCCCCTCTCAAACGACGCCTCTGCGGCTACAATCAACCCTTTGGCCGCGCACCCCATCCACCCTCAAGATGCCCAGGGACGACAGCCCGCCGCCGCCTCCGCCGCCTCCCCCGAACTCGCCAGTGGGAAGGTGAAGCTCACGGGCGCTCTGCGTCACTTTGCTGATTTCCCTATCAAGGGAATCGACTTTGTCGACATCATGCCCCTCTTCCTCGACCCCACCGTTCACCAGACTCTCGGCGATGCCCTTGAGTTGCAGGTCAAGGAGGCTTTCCCGACTCTTCCCGACGTCATTGTCGGTCTCGACGCCCGTGGTTTCCTTTTTGGCCCCGGCATGGCCCTCCGTCTCGGCACCGGCTTCGCCCCGGTGCGCAAGCAGGGCAAGCTGCCCGGCCCGTGCGTTACCGCCGAGTACCAGAAGGAGTACGGCTCCGACTTCTTCCAGATGCAGCAGGATGCCATCAAGCCTGGCCAGAAGGTTCTGGTCGTCGATGACATTATTGCTACTGGTAAGCTACATACTCTGTGCTGAAATGCGCAACATTCCCCCGAGGCTAGATCGTACAGGTCCACTAACACGAAATAGGTGGTTCCGCAAAGGCTGCGGCCGACCTCATCCAGCAGCTCGGTGGCGAGATTGTCGGCTATCTCTTCATCCTAGAAATCCCCGGTCTGAACGGCCGTGAGAAGCTCGGCGACACCAAGACCGTCATCCTCCTCGAAGACGCATAAAGGACACTATGGGAGTGGACCGTATGGGCCTTTCATAGAAGCCCGATGATCAGCACATATCTTCGATGGGCGGGCTGTTGTCTCCGATTCAACTTGGCACGGCCTGAGCTCTCGAAAGTACATAGATACCTGTCGTGGGATGACAGGCTTTGATACCAACCAAAAGAGGTGTCAAAATCAACGAAAAGTGGTCTCTTTCCTTGGAATCTGATCTATTTCGATTTCCTTACACAAGGACACGCGCGAAGAGTGACATCGCGTCGGCGTTTTGGGTTACAAAAAGTTGGATGGCAAACTGGTTGGAGAGATGACAACACATAGACGATATGAGATGAAAAGACTCGGGTTTGAACCCGTAGTCGAATGGGCGCGTTCGCGTTCTTAACAACGCGAACGCCCTCAAATATAATGACGAGCAAACACCAGCATAAAACTTTCGCCAATGTGCCCATACCCAATGTCTGTGGTTTGAAGTCGCCGGTAGGTACTCTTGAAGGCTCACTCTCATCTAAATGCTTGATATGCATGTCTGAGACAAGCTCGCGGGGTCGTATAAGTCGTGTAAGTTGAGGTTGATTCGTCCGGATCAGGAGGCACGGTGAGTTTGTGCAGAAACACCTGCAAGCTAGGCTGAGAAGATGGGAGCAGCATCCATAGATACTTTGTGAGTCACATTGATATTACGCGAAATGCTTGATATTCCGGGAATGACCTCAGTTCATTGCCAGTACCTGACCTACCTTATATACTGAGCCGGCGACTTACTTAAGAAGCTCTTTAGGGTAAGTGACACCCGATTTCACTACAAGATCCTATATCTCTCTGGTAGGATTCACATTGACTTCCAGGCTGACGAAGTCTCCTTTTGAGACAGCGAGTCCCTTTGGCGATGCCCGTATGCGGGCAGCAAGAGAAGCGGGGGCCCGATGAACCAGACCATTCCACGGATCGTCGACCCGGATCTACCAGCACAATACAACACAACCACTACGACATTGACAAGCTCCAACCAGCTCGCAGTTTAAGCAGCAAACAAAGAGGCGGGACGAAGGCGCCATCAGAGAGGGAAAAAAGGCGTGCTGATCCATGATGTCACAACCTGTCGACCGCAACCCCTCAATTGCTTCTAGGCACAGTCGTTCGGGATGACCCCACTGCATTTCTACACGCGAGAACGGCAGCTAGGCGGGCACGAGCGGGTAGTCTCCCAAGTTTCTAGACATCCATGTTGAGATCGTACTTGATTGTCACCGAATTGGGATAGCTGTCTTGTTGGGGGAGCCACGGCGTGCGTTGCTAAGCGGTTTCCGCGTGGAATTAATAAGCTGTCTTGAACTCTCGGAGGAACGACGTCCAACGGAGGCGGGGTTGCTTGGAGTTTATAAGCTACGAGACGGGCAAACTTCTTCATGTTTGTAGACTCTTTTTTTTTTTTTGGCATCGTCTTACTGCCTTTCGACGTATTGAATCCTTTTCATCAGACACAGATACTGCTAAATTGACGAACCATCTAACATGACTGTCAAAATCTTTCTGTAAGCATGCCCATAGTGTCCATGCTCTCTCAAAAAATCCCATAGCTAATGTTTAAATCAGGACGGGCGTCACAGGTGCGAAGTGACCTTTATTCCCGACATGCAAATGTCCGAGGCCAACGATTTATTTGATCTTCTTGCTAACACAAATGGTCAGGCTACATTGGCGGCGACGCCTTTTACGCCCTTTACGAGAAACACCCGGAATACGAGTACGCACTCCTCGTGCGCAATGAAGAGCGTGCCGCTCCCGTGAAGGAGGCGTATCCCAAGGTTCGCATAGTACTCGGCGGTTTGGAAGACGCGAGCGTAATCGAAAAGGAGGCGGCTGCTGCTGATGTAGTAATTCGTATGTTGCCGTCCGTTTCATGCTTCTCCCTTGAACATATTTCAAGAAAAATGTCGTTGACTGAGGAGCGAAAATGCGATGGGATGAGAGGCTAACAACGAGGGACTAAGACACCGCTGGGTCTGCTGATGATGAGCCATCCGCAAAAGCCATCGCAAAGGGGCTGGCAGAGGGACACACGCCTGAGAAGCCGGGCTTCTGGCTTCACATCTCGGGTACCGGTATCCTGCAATGGGTGAGACACACACAGAGAGAGAGATATTCTTCTTTTTCCAATACCTAAGCAAATGGCCACTAACACCCCAACCATAGTACGACATGAGGAACAAACGCTACGGCGAGGCCCCCCTCCCAGACCAAGACTACCACGACATCCGCGATATTGACCGCATCCTCTCCCTGCCCGACGACGCCATCCACCGCGACATTGACAAGATTGTCCTCGGCAGCAACTCCCCCAGCGTCCGCACCGCCATCGTCGGCCCGCCCACAATCTACGGCCGCGGCCGCGGCCCGACGAACCAGCGCTCGATCCAGGTGCCCTCCCTCGCGCAGGCCACGCTGGAAAAGGGCTTCGCGCCCATCGTGGCGCCGGGCAAGGCCGAGTGGGACAACGTCCACGTGCACGATCTCTCGCAGCTGTTCGTAAAGCTCGCGGAGGCGACGCAGGACGCGTCCAAGAACGCCGACCCGGAGATTTTGGGCCCGCGGGCGTATTACTTTGTCGAGAGCGGGACGCACGCGTGGCGCGAGGTTGCCGGATGGGTTGCGGAGGAGGCGTTCAAGCAGGGTTTTCTGCCGGCAGCGTTGACCAAGGAGGCTACGATGAAGGAGGTGCTGCAGAGCGATGGCAAGGCGAACGCGACGTGGGGGTTCAATTCCAAGAGCAAGGCGGAGAGGGCGCGCAAGTATTTTGGGTGGGAGGCGGAGAGCAGGAGTTTGAGGGAGGATATTGCTGATACGGTTGCTTTTGAGGCCAAGAAGTTGGGCATTCAGCCCAAGGAGAAGAAGCAGTGAAGTTGAGCGTGCTTATTAGTTTTGATACGACATTGTGTGGGGATACTTTTTGGAAAGAATGCCCTTGAACCCCGATGGAGAGTTTATTTCTTCTCGATGATTTTGATGACCAGGGGCAAGCTCACACATCGAATGGACTGAAGATGGGGCATCTACACTTCCTGGGCTTCCTCGTGATCAATGGCAAATACAACCGTCATCTCAACCTCGTTGCCCCAGCCGGGGTGAAGACCCATCTCCTGCCACGCCTTCTCAATGTCGATTTCCAGGACACAATCGTGGTCCTTGCTGAGGGACACCGTGTGGACCGGGATCACGGAGTTCTGGATGGTGACGAGGAAGTCATCCTCGATTGTCAACTCTGGTAGCTTCGAGATGTACAGACCTGTTGTTTTGGTCTCGTCAGGATTTGCTCTTATACCTTTCAGGAAAACATCACCACCAAGTACTTACCAAAAACGCCGAGCGCCTTGAGACGAGTCTTGAGCTCAACCTTGCCGTCGTGCCGCAGCATAAAGTCGCTATTGAGTATGGCGGCCGCGCCAGTCATCTTGCCCACCAAACCCAGGTTGGCGGTCCACACCTTGCCCTTGGTCTCGCTGTCGAACCCGGAGAGCGGGTAGGCGGTGAAGATGTCGTATCCGCGCACGTCCAGCGACACCGTCAGCGAAGATGCGGCCGAGCCGGAGGACACGGGCTTGCTGACCTTGCCTGACGAGTGCGCCCGGACGACGTAGCGCATGGAGGGGAGAACGCCGGAGAAGGCGGCAGCGAGCGGGATGATCTCCGTTAGGGCGCGCGCGGAGATGTTGAAGACGCCGAGAATCGGGGTGCCCGTGACGGCGGCGCCGTGGTAGCTGCCAATCTTGAGCAGGCCGTCGTCGTCGTAGCCCGTGTAGGGGTCAATGGTCTTGCCGACGACGCTGGGCCGGAAGATGACGGTCTTGCCGCGGATCGTGGGGCCCGTCATCTGCTTGATAAGGTCCAGATCGTACTGCCCGGGCACGTCGGTGATGTAGATAGGCCCCCCGCTGACGCAGCGTGCGGCGGCGTGGAAGCCCGAGTAGTCGTGGACGGTCTGGAACATGTCCCAGTCGGGCAGGATGTTGAGATGCTGCGTGAAGAGACTGTTGTGGGCGTTTGTCCAGACGTGCCAGGGGTGGGAGGCTGGGATTTCGGGGAAGAAGTCGTCCGAGTTGCGGCAGAGGATCGCCGGCCTGTGCCGGGGCATCTGGTTATAGAACATGATCTGCGGCGTCTGCGACATGCAGGAGATGGCCTTGATGCTGAAGTGCCGGAGGGAGGATATGGTCCAAGCATCTAGGTAAGCGTCGATGAGCTCGCGGCGTGCGCTGGCCGAGACCCAGGTGTCAGTCATGAACTGGGCGTCCGTCTTCACGCCGTCGATGCCACAGTCAATGAGGAACTTGTAAAAGTCGTTATAAAACCTGTCAACATCGTCTTTGTCGACTACGGTCATCTTGCCTCCGAGTGGTAGGTTGCGTCGCTCGGCATCCTCCCGGATCACTTCTATCGTCTTGTACTCTTGAGCAATCTTTCCGTCCGGTGAAATGCCCGCCCAATATCCTGATACAGTCAGCATATACTGTGCTTTGAAATGCAACAAGACGACTGACCTAGAAGAGCGTGCCAGACGGCAATGTGCTGGATATGCGGATGTTTCTGGCGAATGTGCGCCACGGTGGCCTTCAAGCCCTGAGGGAAAGCTTTCGGTTCAGCTTCGAACTCACACCAACCATGCTGAAACTGGCCATGCCCTCTGTAGTCGATTGTCTGCCAGTTGTCGTCAATGATGAGGCTGGAGACTTTGATATCATTCTCGGCTAGCTTGTCGACAGCGTCAAAGACCTTTTCGTCCGTGAGGCGTTGCCCAAGAGCATTCCAGGTGCCTATGAAACGCGTTAGACATTAATCAGGGGATTAGGGAGAGTTGATGGTGTGAAACGTCACAAACTTACAGTATCCGAGTCCATCATACCAGTTCTCCATCCACTCTGGTTTAACCCCTTCCTCAATAGCCTTCATTTCGGCCAACAGCTCATCACTGGCCTTCTTCTCTTGAAGAATGTACTGTCTGGCTTGATACATCACACAGGCATTTGCGCTCTCGAAGTTGTCTCCTGTTCCAACCAAGACAATAGCAGGTTCTGGCTTCGTACTATCGTTACGGGCCTGTGACCAGTAAGCTTTATACTCACCGAGCAGGATGGGGTCCAGCGACGAACGTGAACAGACAATTGCCCAGACTCGCCATGGCGGAAAACGGGCAGAACATGGTTGCCTCCGCTTACTGCGAGGAAAACAAGATGCTTGCCCTCGGAATTCAAAAATGAGCATAGGACGCCGTCTTTGTCGAGATGAAATGAGTCTTCTCCATGGCGAGGGGCCAGCCATGGCGTCCAAATACGGATAAGAGCAAACCACCTATTCTTGTCAGCATCCCACTCCGCTAGATGAAGTTGAAACGGAGGGAAGCGAGTCCTCAAGACGATTCTGATCCTGATAGCGAGCGGGCTTCTAAAAATCAGACATACCTCAGAAACCCTCCCCAAGGCACGCCTAACGAGATGTCGGCAAACTTCGACTCATCTCCTTCAACGGCATCTATAGTAGCTTCAAGTGACCAAAGCCGAGTTCCGGGACACTGGCTCATCATCGGCTTCACTTTCCATGCAGGATTCAGATCAGACACGACGTCATCAATGCTTTCGGAAACAGTCTCAAGAATGGGCCTCGAGTTGAGCACCACAGTGCCATCACCAACGCCTAGCTCATCGCGAGTCCATCTCCATGGCTTGTCTGACGAGTGTCGGAACTTGAGTGTGAATTGGAACGATGATTTGAAAGGAACAGGAGCGGAATAAAACAACCGTCGTACATCATCTGGGACAGCTTGCAAGGTCGTCGGAGCGTCTTCGTCGGCGATGCGAGCAAGAGCAGTTTCGCTCCAGTCGGCTCCATCACTCGAGTGCCACACCGCAACCTCCCAGGATTCGCCCGCACGTGAAGCAGGTATCTCTAGAACTGCGGTGATAGGAAGACCACCATGGGGGATCTGCGTGTATTGCCCAAGAGGTGGGTAGCTCTGGATGACGGCCTTCATGGTATCGGCGATGATTTCTGGGGCTGGTTTTTGCTTTGAGACGAAGAGAGACTGGAAGACTTCGGCAAAGTTGTAATTGTCTGATGGCATCTTGATGTCATAAGGGTACGAACTACAAGGAAAGCGTGTAAGTGACGAGGCAATAGTTGATGAATGTCTTATTGATGGCAACTGAAGTGAGGAAAGGTAAGAGGCTTTTTCTCAGTTGCTCAAGTTGAAGTGCTGTAGCATGCTTTCATCCTATGTAGGAGTCTGTGAGACTGGCATATGCAGTGAAGTCAAAAAGGCAGTCCTGTGACCGACCTGCTGCACTAACAGCTCATCCTAAAGGTCTCAGCTGCACGACTAGGAACTTGACGCAAGAGCGGCTGTCGCCTGGCACAGGACAGGATCCGCTTAATTGGCCAATTGCATTTGCGGACAAAAGGGGAAGGAGGATGATTCATCGATTTGAATGGGACAACTTTGCGCCATGAAGCGTAAACTCAAACAAGACAAGAATCGAGGTGTGAAATGCCACGAAGGCAGGCTCAATCAAGTTCTCTAAGCTAGTGTAAGCTGATTTCTCACAATTGTTCTTTAGCTGCTTCCGGGTAAAATAAGTCAATGACAAAATAAAAGATAAATTGAACACACGGTGGATCTGGTGGTGCCAGGATACTGGGGCCTCAGATTAGTTACGTACCTCCTCTGATTGGCTCCAGTTGCTGGGCCGGGGCATTCCGGAAGCCGATTTCGCGCCTCGATTCCAAGGCACACACAGCCTTTCGAAAGGCGAAAGCTTTCTGAGCCGAAACCTCATCGAAAGATTTCATCAAACACCTCATATCACTCCCCATCCTCCACAACTCCGCCATGGCGTCCCGGAGACTAGCTTTGAACCTCTCGCAGGGGCTGCGAAGCCGGGCTGCTCTTTCCAGAGCGAGCCCAATTACCCGGGGCTTCGCTACGCCTTCCAACACCCCCTTCGGCAAGACTCAGACGACAACATTGAAGAATGGACTGACGGTATGCAATCCCAATCTACCCATCCGCTATATGGCTCAATTGGCCTCGAAAACCGCGTCGCGAATTCCATCTGACAGTTGAGATTTAGGTCGCCACCGACTACTCGCCCTTCGCCCAGACCTCGACCGTCGGCGTGTGGATTGACGCCGGCTCAAGGGCTGAGACCGACGAGACCAATGGCACCGCACACTTCCTCGAGCACCTTGCCTTCAAGGTAGGCCAAACAGTGACGACAATGCGATGAGATACACCTGCTGATGCGAATATTCAGGGCACCACAAACCGGACGCAGCAGCAGCTCGAGCTCGAGATCGAGAACATGGGTGGTCACTTGAACGCCTACACCTCGGTTCGTTCCCGTCGACCGAAATCATCAAAATTTCCTCCCATTGACATTGAAACAGCGCGAAAACACCGTCTACTTCGCCAAGGCCTTCAACTCCGACGTTCCCCAGACTGTCGACATTCTTGCCGACATTCTCCAGAACTCCAAGCTCGAGGAGTCCGCCATCGAGCGTGAGCGCGATGTCATTCTCCGCGAGTCCGAGGAGGTCGAGAAGCAGATGGAGGAGGTCGTCTTTGACCACCTTCACGCCACCGCCTTCCAGCACCAGCCCCTTGGCCGCACCATCCTTGGTCCCCGCGAGAACATCCGTGACATCACCCGCACCGAGCTCACCAACTACATCAAGAACAACTACACTGCCGACCGCATGGTTCTTGTTGGCGCTGGTGGTATCCCCCACGAGAAGCTCGTTGAGCTCGCCGAGAAGAACTTCAGCGGCCTCCCGACTTCCGGCCCCCAGACCTCGGCCTACCTCCTGTCCAAGCAGAAGGCCGACTTCATCGGATCTGATGTCCGTGTCCGTGACGACAACATCCCCACCGCCAACATCGCCATTGCCGTTGAGGGTGTCAGCTGGAACGACGACGACTACTACACCGCCCTCGTCGCCCAGGCCATTGTCGGCAACTACGACAAGGCTATCGGCAACGCCGCTCACCAGGGCAGCAAGCTCAGCGGTTTCGTTCACAAGCACGATATTGCCAACAGCTTCATGAGCTTCTCCACCAGCTACAGCGACACTGGGTAAGTAGCTTCCACGCAGTAAGGAGGAGGAATTGCTAACACATCCTAGTCTCTGGGGTATCTACCTCGTCACCGACAAGCACGACCGCATCGACGATCTCGTCTACTTCGCCCAGCGCGAGTGGATGCGCCTTGCCCGCAACGTCAGTGAGGCCGAGACCGAGCGCGCCAAGGCTCAGCTCAAGGCCTCCATTCTCCTCTCCCTTGACGGCACCACCGCCATTGCTGAGGACATTGGTCGCCAGCTCGTCACCACCGGCCGCCGCGCCAGCCCCGCCGAGATTGAGCGCACCATTGACGCCATCACCGAGAAGGACGTTATGGACTTTGCCAGCAGGAAGCTTTGGGATCAGGACATTGCCATCTCCGCCGTCGGAAGCATCGAGGGTCTCTTTGACTACTCCAGACTCAGGGCCACGATGAAGCCCAAGTACTAAATGTGTGGTTTTTGGCGATTTCCGGGAGATTAGGGTATAGAGTGTATGAGATACCGTTACAGGCAGGCTAGTGTATCATAAAGACTTCCCTTGTTCATATGTCTGTGACAACCGCAAGCTTAGCACCTTGACGACCTAATTTTACTATGTACTTTTGTAAGCATCCAACACTTTTGGTTTAAACCTGGACTCGATGAGACTTGCAGAGCATAACGTGACGAGGCCTGACCCTGATTGCACCCCTACTTTCTACTGTGAGGAGACCCCTTAGCAACATTGCCGCTTCCGTCTCAGCATTAAATATTTGCGTTGAGATGAGTAGTAGAAGACGGGGCCCAGCGGACGTTGTAGTTGGTCCTGACGGTCTTGACTGGGTTCATCAAAATGAACTCGAAGTGACAGAAACCCTGATTCGTCACTAAATGGCTAAGGCAAGGGAGGATGACCGCCCCGGGGGAAGCCGAAAGAGAAGATTAAGCCACGTTTGAGTATTCCGACATCGCTATCTTCTCCAGCCGCGGTTCAAAGTTCCAGCTAGAAGTAAACTCATCTTTTCCTCGTCCCTAGATTAAGCTCGTAAGTCGACAGGGTGAGGTCGGACCGAGATGGGAAAGCTGTTTCCCCCCGAAATACTGTCATCCGCTTAGTTGTGCTATTGCAGAGGCAGTGTTCATGCCTCGGGGGCTCACACTTAGCAAGACCTTGATGCAATTCTTGCAAATAGACGAGTGTCAGGTCTTTCTATAGGTACGTAGCTCCGGAGTCATATCCTGCTACATCATGACCGTCTTCTAACAAGTCTTCGACATGTACGTTGAAATGGGATGGGTGCAAAAGAATGTTGATGGCTAAGCGGACTGAGAGTGAATGATATGACAAAGGACGGCGTCACTGCGCGGTCTGAAATACTTGTCACCATCTCAGAGACAAAATAGGTCACGAATATGCTCAGCATTGGATTCCAATATAAGAAGGTTTTTCTTTTTCTCTACATGTCCAATGACATTTTTGGTATAACTACATAAAATCATAAAACCCCCCTTGCCATTCATCCAATAATCTTGACTTTTCTTTTTGATGGTCAACGTCAAAAATCGAATGCACTTATTTACGGTTCATGTGGTCGATGCGGATCTCGACGGCTCTGCGGTGAGCCTCGAGAGCCTCCGTCTTGGCGAGCTGCATGACGGACTCGCCGACGTTGCGCAGGCCCTCGGCCGTCAGGTTGGAGCTGGTGATGTGCTTCACAAAGGAGGCGAGGTTGACGCCAGAGTACTGCTTGGCGTATCCGTAGGTCGCTGGAATCATCGGTCAGTCATGGGATATCTTTCATCGTTGATGTGGGTAGGACTTACGCAGAGAGTGGTTGACGCCAGCAGAGTAGTCGCCGACACTCTCGGGGGTCCACTCGCCGATGAAGACGGAGCCGGCGTTCATGACCTTCTCCGTCACCTTTTCGGCATCGTTGATTTGGAGAATCAAGTGCTCGGGCGCGTAGTCGTTGCTGATGCGCATGGCCTCGTCCACGGTCTTGACCTGGATGGTGACCGAGTGGGCAATGGCGCCGCGAACAATGTCGACACGAGGCAGGGCCATGGCCTGGTTGTGCAGCTCATCCTCGATGGCCTGGAGCTGCTGCTCGTTCAGGTCAATGGCAATCAGAATGACTTGACTGTCAACGCCGTGCTCGGCCTGTGACAGCAGATCGGACGCGACAAAGGCGGGGTTGGAGTCCTTGTCGGCGATGACGAGAACCTCGGAGGGGCCGGCCGGCATGTCGATGCTGACACCGGCGTTGGTGTCGTTGCTGACGTACATCTTGGCCGCTGTGACAAACTGATTTCCGGGTCCGAGGATCTTATCGACCTTTGTCACGCTCTCGGTGCCGTACGCCATGGCGGCGACGGCCTGGGCGCCTCCAGCGAGGACGATGCTCTCGGCGCCCACCTTGTGAGCGACGTAGACAATCTCAGGGGTTAGGCTACCGTCGGCGCGAGGAGGCGAGGCGAAGACAATCTTTTGGCAGCCGGCGACCATGGCGGGGACACCGAGCATGAGAGCAGTAGAAGGGAGAACGGCAGTCCCACCAGGGACGTAAAGACCAACCCTCTCGATGGGACGAGAGAAGCGGCTGCAAACCACGCCGGGCATGGTCTCGACCTTCAGGGGCTTGTCCTCCTTCTGAGCGGCGTGGAACTTGCGAATGTTCTCAAAGGAAATGTCAATGGCCTTGGTTGATTCGGGAGAGAGCTGCATGGCCTCCTTGGGGAAGGGAGCCTTAAGCACAGGGGAGGTGAGTGATGTCGCCTTCTCGAACTTGTGTGTGTAGGACAGAACAGCCTTGTCGCCTCCGTTGCGAACCTCGTCAATGATGGGCCTGACGATGTTCAGGATGGCGTCGGGTGACTTCTGTGAGGGGCGCTTCAGCACCTCGTCAATCTCAGCGGCGGAAGAGCTGGACAGGTCGAAGCGGCGCATCGATATTCTCTCAGACTTCTCAGCCTTTGCTGTTGGTGCCGGTGCCGGCGCCGCTGCAGGGGCGGGTGCTGTGGTAGTCTTGATGCCCTCCTTCTCAGCCCACTTGCCCTTGGCATCTCCCGTCCTCCTCTTGACCTTGAATGCCTTGGCATCCAAATTTCTCTCAATGTCAGCGAGGCTAACGCCGGCGCTGACAGCTTTTGTGAGAGCAAAGTAAATCAAGTCGGCAGCCTCAAAGGCAACCTCTTGGGGAGTCTTTGCGTCACAGAGCTCCTCGGCCTCCTCCATAATCTTGGCTCGCAGAAGCTTCTCGTCGGAGAACAAGCGAGCAGTGTAAGAGCCCGCGGGCGCGGACTTCTTGCGAGACTGCAACGTCTGTTCGAGTCTAGGGATACCGTTCAGGTCACCGAAGCAGCCGTGCTGATCCAGGTGGCAGAAACCGCCAGTCTGCTTGACGACGAACTTTAACGTGTCATTATCGCAGTCCAGGGCGATGCGGATGAGCTCCTGGGTGTCACCGGACGTGGCACCCTTTACCCAGAGACCACGCTTGCGGCTCTGGTAGACGCCAGCCCTGGTCCGCAGGGCCTCTCCGACGCTCTCTGCACTGCTGTAGGCGAGGCCCATCGCGGTGCCAGACTCGTCGCACACGACGGTGGGGATCAGGCCATCCGGCCGGTCCGACTTCCAGAATGAAGCAATGAGCTTGGAAAGGGAAAGCTTCTTGGACTCCTCCTTGCTGGCCGTCAGACCGTCAGACGGCAGAACCGGGATGGCGTTGCATTGCTTGGCGATATCGACAAAGTGCTCGAGGTTGCTCTCGGGCACGGGCTTGATGAACAGGTTCGGGAGCTTCTCCACCTTGCAGTGCTCGATGAAGGAGCCCAGGTTACAGAGGGTAGGATCAAAGTCTTTGACGAGGACGGCGTGCTTGGAGGCGGGCTTCGTCGTGACATCGTCGGTGGTGAGAATGGAGCCCACACGGGATCCGAACTCCTCGTACTGAGCGAGACTCTCGGGAGAGACGAAGACCATGCGGGCGCCGGCATCGAGCAGGGAGACTACATCGTCCTTTGCTGTGATACCCGTGACGTCAAAGTAGCCGCGGAATTCTGCGTTGTGCTGCTTCAGAAAGCTGTGAAACTTGTCCAGGGTCTGGTCGTTGGCCTCGAAGAAGGGGGCTCCGAGGATCGAGACTTGCTCGCGGTCGAGGCCATCCAGTTTGGCCAGGCCGGGCGGAACGGCCACACTGATAAGGAAAGGGAAGGGTAGTGTTGTTTCCATGGCCGTTCTTATTGTGTGTATGTTGTTGGATATGGATGTGTAACGTATGAGGGGGAGGGGTAATCTTGTAGGTATGCTCTCTCTTATCTCTCTCTCACTCGCATGGAAGTCAAAAGAGCCCAATAGGAGGGTAGCGTTGAGAAATGAGGCAACAATAGGAAATGAAGTTGCCAAAAGGATCAATTGAGGAAAGTGGAATGTCACTTGTTTATCGAGATACGGTAGACAACCCACTGTGACTCAATTCATTCAGGGAAAGGGAACCGCCACTAAAAAGTAAAAAATCCTCAGAGTGTGACACCACCACTCTAGCCATGTCCTGCATCGGCGGGTGTGGTGGTGGGGCAGAACAATTACCACGCAGCAGAATTGCCCCTCCATGCAAGTTTTTGGAGGTCATCCAATCCACGCCCTGCCGATTTGCCCGTCAGACACCCCGGTCCATGTGGGATTAAGCTGTGGTCAGTGCGCTAGGATTCTGGCGATGGAACGGATCAACAAAAGTCCCGTCAAGAATTCGGAGCTGAGGTGAGGTGCAGATGGGCAACTCAGGTCCTCACGCTCGACGCGCCAGGTAGGTAGCTCTTTCCGCGATCTAACCAGCCAACTACCTCCCCTAACCTTGATACCCCCGACTTTCCGGCCCCGCCTTCCCATTCGAACCCTCGCGAGCCTTATAAACGATCTTACGAGCTACATCAATTCGTCTGGGTGACTTTCCAACCCCACGCACCATCTGCACAAAACCGACAGCTACTATTTAGTCGCGTTGACGATCGTTAATCCTCGAACGGTGTCCCAAACGGGGATATGCCATCCCGCCATCAAACCCTCATTAATACTTCATAACGAGATAATACCATAGCCGCCACGAGCACGACACGACACCGCAATCATGGCTTCGCAATCCGCTGACCCGCAAACCAACGGCGTGCCCCCCTCCTCAGGCGCCTCAGCCTCGCAAACCGCACCGAACACCCAAGCAACAGCAACGACGTCAACAGCAGGCTCTCAACCCCCATCCCAAACCCAACCGACCCAGTCCTCATCCACCCAACAAACCTCACAGCCATCACAACAAAATGCGCAACAGGGCGGCCAACAACAACAGCAGCAGCAGCAACAATCATCAAACCCTCTAGCCCCCAATGCCTCGGCCCCGCGACCCCGCGACTCCCGCATGATAGAACTCCTCCTCACCTCCCAGGGCGTCACATCGTACGAGTCCCGCGTGCCCC